CGACCACGGTCTCCTGACTCGGAGCCACACCTTGCGACCTGCACTCATTCGACTACACACTTTCCCTGCCTCGATCATTAGCTCAACACTTCGGTCCATGCTGCCACGACGGGATCTTGAATCACTCATTCGCCTCTTGCATCTTGAGTTGAAGAATGGAGGATGGTCATCACCATTGGGCTTCGTTGATTTCGAAACCGCGGGTGCTGACAATTCTGGAGAAGATCCTGATGATCATGCTGTTTCTATTATTACTTCCCTACTTTCGAGCACGCTTGATGCCATTGGCGCCGGAGCTTGGCTCGCGTCGGTCGGCTCAACCTCAGGATGCGAAAATGGTGAAGACATGCTCAAATCATTGAACAAGGACGCATCCGTTGCTCTCAGTGGTTTCTTTGAAGCGCATTTCATTCGGGGTCTATTATCTGAGTTCCTACGCTACGCGTCTACGGTGCCTGCTTCAAACAAACCTTCTGTTCAGACTTTGGAGATGCAAGGCAAGCCGTTTGGAGTCACAGGTAAACTGAATGGAGAGGAGGATTTGCCCATGTTGCCACTTGGCGCAAAAGCAGACCAGGGTGTGGAAAAGATGAAGAATAGCAAAGGCGGCAAGAAGGAACAGCGGAGTAAGCGGGAGATGGGCATGCTCATCAGTAAAAAGGTGCCAAAGTACAGCTTCGAGCGCATTGTCGTTTAACACTGTATCATCGCTGTCAAGTTTCTGTAGCAGCTCAAAATCCCCGTTTTCGCAGTTTTAATGAACAAATACTACCTTTTCTTGTTGATGCCCAGTCTTTCATATAGATGATAGGATAATCTATACGGGTTCATGCATGATAAACGTTGAAAAACGTTCTGTGTATTAAAGGACTACCATCCGGCAAGGGCCCCTAGCCATTTAATGGCAACGTTACTATTTTGGTAACAAAAAGTTCTCGACCCTTTCGTAATACATGTTCACCACTTCGAATATCAATTCCATCGCCGATATGACAAAGTTTTCGGTTATCTAGAGAATCTAAGCATCTAATGACCAAGGGTTTTGATCAGCAGTTGTTGATGACTATGTATGGTTGAAGAACTAGCTGGCATGCAGTTCATCCGGACCTGAGTCGTACCGCAAGCAGATCTGCGGGCCGAATGGCCCTGGCGCAGGCATAGGGGGGGGTGCGCTAAGTTGTATAGCTGTCTTGGCATGATGTTTGACCAATTGCAAAGCATACTATGACGTGACTCGGACGTCCCAAGGTGCCGACACGGGCTTCCTGACGGACAATCGGGGAATTCCACGACAATTGGTTGAAGAATTCACCCTTGCTGCCCATCTTCGGCCGACAATGGCCTGAATGTCTCGTCCTCTCTTTGCATTCTCTTCAGCTTCTGGCGTATAGGCTCGTGAGACACACTCGAGTCCTTGCCGTCACAATGGCATCTTCGGCGACAAAAAGGAATACTGATGAAAGAGATGAAGCGGATTCTAACACGACTGCAAGACCGACACTCAGTGAGGAGCCGGAACAACCTACTAGTTATCAACAGAATGTGTCTTCACTAGAAGAGGATGGGAAGAAGAAAGAGAAGAAACCATCGAAATTGAAGGCAGCATGGGGAAAACTAGGACTGGACGTTCCAACTCTTCTGATGATGGGAAAAGCAGCGTTACCGCCGACTATTGCGCTGGCCATGTATCAAGCAACCGATGTTGCGCAAACATACACGACACTGGGATACCTCACGGCCATCGTGTCCATTCTTGGTTTCTGCATCATGCCGCGCGCAAAGTTCATTCAGACTATGGCCATGAACATACTCGCTACTTGTATCGGAGCGGCCCTTGCAATGCTTATGGTCTGGACCGGCGTGAAGGCGCGACAACACACGACCGATCCTGCCGTACCTCCACAAGCCTACAATTCCTCTCAGTCTGCTGTTCTCGCAGTTTGGCTATTCTTCCAAATATACGTGGTCAATACTATGAAAGCAAAGTTCCCACAACTTGCCTTTCCCACGATAATCTACGCCATATTTGTCAACGTTGCGGCAACCAGCGGCTTCTTATTCCGAACGGTCCCGCAGTGCCAGGCGTTCATCCGGAGGCTGTTGGAAACTTTCTTGACAGGATTTGCAATTGCGACAGGTGTAAGCTTATTCATTGTACCTGTCACGTCGCGTAAAGTTGTAATGAAAGAGTTCGCGGGGTACATTGGATTGCTCAAGGGCGCCTTAGGTGCTCACAAGGCCTATTTCATCAGTCTGGAAACTAGCGATATGTTTGCGCAGAAATATGTGCCAGATACAGGAGACAAAAAGAAGAAAGAAGCAAAATCAAAGGTGAAGCCAGAAATTGAGGCTGTCAAGAACATGTCTACAGCACTGCAGCAACTGCACGGCAAACTTTCCGCAGACCTCCCATTTGCGAAACGAGAGATTGCATTTGGAAAGCTGTCGCCCGACGACTTGGAAGTCATATTCAAAAACCTCAGATCGATTTTGCTACCGGTCCTGGGCTTAGCCTCAATCATAGATCTTTTCGAACGCAGCGCGGAAATTAACCATTGGGACGGGCATGAAGACGAGCATAACGAGACCCTTCGCAGACAAGCTGTAGACGAATGGAATGAGATGTTCAGGTTTGCGCACGAGCCGCTCAGCAATATATTTCAAGCTCTCGATGATGGTCTTTCCCATGTTTTCTTGAGACTGCAGCTGGCGAAACCACCGAAGAAGAAAGGAAAGAACCAAGCAGATGCGGAAGCAAAAGGAGAGTCTGTCAAACCGGGTGATGCTGGATTTGCCGATCATCTTCAAAAGCAGGCAGACACATTCTTCAGTACGAAAAATTCTACACTCCACCATTGGGTCAAAACAAAGGGAATCAAGCTTAGGGATGACTACTTCACATGTCCCTCGGCCATCGATGAGGAGACCTTGAAGCTAATTCCTAGTATTACGACAAGGAAGCGAGACCAACGCCAGCTCTTCATGCTGCTTTATATTATGTTCTTGCTTCATTCGGTAAGCCGTTCAACGCTCGAATTTGTAAAATTCGCCGATAGTAAAGACCAAGCGACCATGAAGAACAAGCTTATCTGGCCAGGTGGGCGACGCTTCAAGAAGTGGCTGAAGAGCATTTTCCAAAATCAAGACGCAAACTCAGACGATGAGACGACGGTCGCTGGATTCGATAGAAACAAGACTACTGTATACATGGGAGAAGCATTCAAGAAAAAGAAGGATCCAGAACATCTACCACCCGCCAATGCATGGGAAAGAATTGGAGACCGATTACGCAGAATCCCGGCCTTTCTCCGCAGTCCTGAATCAGCTTTTGGATTCCGTGCTGCTTGTGCTACAATGAGCTTAGCTATTATAGCCTTCCTGCACCCGACACAAAGGTTCTTCATCGAACAACGCTTAGTGTGGGCTTTGATCATGGTTGCCATTTCCATGACACCCACTACGGGTCAAGCAATCTTCCAGTTCATATTACGTATTGTCGGAACAGCTGTAGCGATGATTTTTGCGTGGCTCATCTGGTACATTCCTGCTCAGAAGACGCCCGGTGTACTTGTTTTCCTCTGGGTTTTCGTTGCGATTGGATTTTACATTCCACTTAAGCGTTTAGACTTGGTCATTGTTGGGATTATTAGCGTTGTCACTGCTACTATGATTGTCGGCTATGAACTCCAGGTTCGCAAGATTGGCGAACAAGCAGCCATAGCAGGTACAGGCCAACCTGCATACGCCATCTACATCCTAGGCCCTTACCGTCTGGCCACTGTCGTTGCTGGTCTTGGAGTAGCATTTTTCTGGACAATCTTTCCCTACCCAATCACCGAGCACTCTGCTGTCCGCCAGCAGCTTGGCGGTGCACTGTATCTCTCTGCAAATCTGTTCTCCATCATGCATGAGCAGGTTATGGGTCGTATTCGAGGCGAACTCGGCGGAGAAGGAGACAGTAAAAAGGACAGCCCAGCATACCAGCTAGTCAAAGCCCGAAACAAGGTTTTTGCCAAGCAGATGCTCACTATCCAAGGATTGAAGATGCATGCTGGTTTCGTAAGGTGGGAATTTCCATTCGGAGGCAAGTTTCCGAGGGAAGAATACGAAAAGATTATCACGCATGTTGAGAAGTACGTATCACCTCGTCCTCAAAGAAACACCAGAAGCTAACCGTTTGAGTAGTATCGTCAACTACACAGCCCTCCTCGGCTACACATCCGAAGCCTTCACCGACCCCTCGCTAACCCAGCAATCCTCCGACCAAGAACTCAAAGACACAAACAGCAAAGCCCAATGGTTCCACGACCTCCGCCGCGTAATCTTCGCCGCAAAAGTAACATCCCACGAAACAACCTCCTTACTCGCCATGCTCTCCTCCTCCATCACAAACGCCCAACCCCTTCCCCCTTACCTCCGTCCACCCCCCGGCGCCCAGCTCTCCCGCAAACTCGAAATGATCGACCCAGAGATCCTCAGTCTCAAACATATTACCGAACCGGGCTACGCGGCGTTTGCCGTCATGGCTGTTAGCACGCGGTGCATCAATATGGAGGTTGAGCGGCTGTTAAAAGCGGTCAAGGGACTCGTGGGTGAGCTGGATTTTTCGTTCCACATTGTTAGTACGGAGGAGGAGGGGTCGTCGAGGGAGACGCTTGTGCAGAGGAGTAGTGGGAAGATGGATTGAGCGTCTTGTCTTCTTGAAATGAATTTTGTGTATATGGTTCTTTTTTTGGGTGTTTTTTGTATAGTTTGAGGCATAGAGGGAAAGATGGGAGATTATATAATATGTATGTATGAGATGAGGGGCTTTTTTGGGGCCTCATTGGGGAGGTTGAAACGATACCCGTACATTTCACCAAAGCAAAGAGGTGCGTATATAAGGAATGTTCTAATCATTACTCATTCAAACTATTCTAAATCACATTATTTCGTTCATGTACCGCATTCCGTTTCTTCCATCCCTTTGTTTTTCTGGTTCGCACAAGAAATTTACTCGTCTACTTGCACCCAATTGCCTTCGCCGAGCGAATCGGCATAAACGGGCCAAATGTCTTGCAATCGCCGCCGACCTTGTCGATAGTAACTTGTTTGCCTTGGCATCCGTCGTTATCGTATGCAATGACTATTTCATCGCTTATTAGTATATCAACAAGAACAAAGAACAAGAAGTGCAAAAGGTATAGCAAAAAAGGTAGAGGTGAGCAAGGAAAAGAAAGGAGAGAAACTTACCTTTACATCCACTAGGCAACTTCGCAAGATTATCCGCGGTGATCCTGAAGGAATCTGTGTTTCCGCTGAAGATTGGGGATGTACCGAAGCATTTGCCGTCAGTGGGAATGTACGAGACTGATACGCCTGAGCCGGTGCAGCTTTGGCCGCCCCAGATACTGAGGGGCACGCCGGCATCGAGGCTTGAGGAGGCGGCTAGGGGTGCGGCGGTGGCGCTGGAGAAGAGGGCCGCGAGGAGGAGGGTGGAGAAGCTCATTTTTGCGTAGTGGCGGAAATCTGGGAGAAAGATTTTGGTTTGGAGGAAGAGGAGTAGAAGAGATTATTTGGAGGGTTGTAAAGGTCGGTGTGTAGGAGATGTGTTGATTGTCTGGAATGAAGATAGCAAAGATGTAGGATAGACGCTTTCTTTTTATACATCTGTCAATGGCTACACGGCAGAGTATGTTTCATAGGAGTTGCATGGATACTCTTGTTCTTTGCCGGCTAAGGAGACCAATCTTACCGTTTGAATGCGCTTGTCCAACCCTTCCTCAGCGACTGCATTATTGGCAATTGCAGTAGTCACAGGCCCACCACTAGTGGGTTACATGGTTGGTGGGCGTGAACGGGACACGGTGAGGCTCGCGGTTACCCGCCCTGTGCTGCATCTCCATCACGGGCGTTTTTTTTGGTTGACAGGATCCGACGAGATCCGTTCTTTCTTTTTTAGCGAGCAGTACAGTCAGCATAGGCTATGCAAGCCGCGGTATCCCGAATAGCAACGTGAAGGTGTCTAGGTACGATCCTGGCTCGTTTTCATTTTGCCTGTAAGCCAACTTTGAACATGGCGGGCGGACAAGCTTCCATAAAAACGTTGTGGTGGCTGAAAGTCTAACGCTGGACTTTGACCACCGGACAGAGTTGATCCTCCTTTGTTTGTGCACTTGAATTTCCCCTTGATTCCTGGATACAAATTACTCGAATGATAGAAGAGGAATAGGTAGTGTGCATTGTTGACACGCCAGCATAGCGTGACGCAATAGTTGCAACTTTGTCGGCTGACTAGTACTTGTAAGTTTGACCATCGGCTGTATATGCTGACTACTAGCCCGAGCCGTAAAATCAGTTCGCCTATGTATGCATCGTTGGCCAGAAACATGCCAAAAGTCGGACCTATTGCTAAGAATTACTTCTTCAATACTCGTGTCTTGTCCCGCATTCATTGTGTAACGTGCAACCCATGAGGTTCGTCATAGCAGGCAAATCCGAGTACGCCAAAAGTCCTGCGTGTAAGCATGAGCTGTTGGATACATAGGCTATTTTCCTTTGACATTTCAGTTGCCAAATGGAGGTTATGACATCGCACTCTTCCTGTAGTTAAGACGCTGCTGCTGCGACCTGTATAGACGATAAACTGTGGTGAGGGTCTAGACAAAATCCTTCCAGAGACTGTCTACTGCAAGCAGTATTTACCCATTCCTTTGCATATGCAAGGCCCGTAGTACATATATGCGCCTTTTCGAACCAGCTGTCTGGTGCTAGGCCGGGTGGTGATAGTCGTTGACATGACATCGGCGTTCGTTGCCTGATGTGGATCTGCATTGCCGGCCCTAGTAATGGTGGACCTCTGAAGACTAAGTAGACGTTCCGTGCCGCGCGCTAGGCTCCAAGGAATACAAAAAGACGCAAGGCGGATCAGAATGTCATTGACGATGATGTGTTCTAGGCCTGAGTGCAAGCCGAGCAAGTGGCTGGAATATTGGCAGAATAGGGTCTTGTTGCGAGGCTTCACTCCCTCATCTAATCCTCTTTCTCCTTAGTTCCACGCTTCAAGTCCTCTTCGTTGGCTAACTCATGGCAGGATCGGAGGTGGACCATCATGCTGGGTGCATCGCCAAAAGAGGCTCGGAGGATCTGACAACACGCCATCCCGACCCACATACTAGAAAATTTAAATAACTATCGATCATGTTCTTCAGCCTCAGAGAGCAGATACGAGGATCCTGAATTTGACCATAGGCTAAATGCGAGCGAGCAGAGGATTTGATTCCAGGTGCTGGCACTGGAGTCGTGATACCGAGACGTTCAACCAAGCGGCGATATGTTTAGAATTGACGTTGGGCTGCTGGGGGATCGGTGCGGTTGGTGATGCAGCTGAATGTGCGGCTTATTCACTAGAATCCTGAATTCCAGCAGGGTGGTAATCCGGCCTGCGCCAGTACAGGCTAAATGGATCCAAGAAGCTAGCTATGCCGCTTGAATTCTTGAGTGCATACTTTGAGTTGGAATCCGGGTTGGTGGATGAGCGAGAGATGAAGAGCTCGATGGGAAACCATCTGAGATTGAGGCTGATGTTCATCACCCCACCCACCCCACCCAGCCATGTCCAACTATCGCCGTGGGGGTTACCCGCTGCGCATTATGGCCAAAAATCGAACAGACGACAATAGTCTATCTTACGGAAGCGCTAGCCACCCGCTCTCCCCCGTCCTTGCACAAAAAATGCATGACGCTGGTTCCTATCGTTGCTGTCTTCACCGCATCTCTAGCTGACGGGAGAGACCAGTCACCACAGATAAGAATTTAATTTGTAAATACTAATGTGCTGCCGTATGCTGGCAAACGAGCTCGCACATGAGGTCAGCTTTTGCACGATCTTCTTGCATTCCGTGTGTAGTGAACGCGATTGTAGGGTTGGCGTATACGTCGAGCCGGTGACTATTTTTACCATACGACGTTTACTCTTGCGTCTCCATCATCATCGCCGGTCATAGGTCTAAATCTGCCTCTGTCGTTGAACCACGTCTCCTTCAATTCAGTAACAAGGTTGATGTTGCCTTTCCAGCTTCCAGCTCCACGTTCATCTTGCCCTGTATGCATCAACCAAACAACCCTGCGCCTGCCAAGACGGCGCAACAGTACTCCGTGGCTCCATGAGATGAACTTGGTATAACGGGCTGCCATTCCTGTTCATTCTTTGGTTGGCGCCCTCTTCATTGTCTCAGTGACCGTTGTCTAACCGCAGTCTTCAATGAAGACATAAGTAGGCAACACGTGGTAGACTCGCCATCCGTATTGTGCAGCCTCGTCTTTGAAGAACCCCGGGTTCTTTGGGATAGTCATCGTAGTAGGGCCTGATGCCCCGCAAACAGAACCCTCGATATGGCCGATTGCAGTTTTGTATAACACAACAAATAAGCACTGGGAGCTCATAGAAGGTACAATACACGCGTGCTCGAGTGGCTTTGGCGGACTACGGGCAGCAGGGAGGCATTTCTAATGTCAAGTAAGCTGCGTGGCTGATATCAAGCACTGCAGGCCCTACTTACGCTGCTAATGACAGCGTATTTGCTATCAACAAGACGCTTCAACATGACCTGCTGCGTCTCTGCGTCTGCAGCTGCCAGCCTAGCCTTGATAAAGACAAGCTCCAGGATCGAAATGGATCGAAAGATAACGTAGTCTCTCAAAGCAAGCTTCGAGGACTCTTTCAAAACGATAGCAATATAAATCAACGAGAAGAAGTTGACAAACGGCGTGTCTGACCAGATGAATCGCCCTGTACGCCGAAGAGCCATAACAGGCATGGCAAAACTCTTCTTCTTACATGTTACTACAGCGGATGTCAGGAAGGTTAAGCCAAAGGTAGCTGCAATTAGTGCGTTTAGTACTCCTGTTGGAAGAGCTAGGTTCATGACGATTGCGGACGCAAGCGAGGTTATCAATAGGACAAACCCAGTGTTTGTAAAGTATAGCTTAGCCAGCTCGCTATCTTGATCTCTGGAGAAGACGGATGTGTAGCCGTCAAGCATGTCAGAAGTATCAATAGTAGTTTTGTCTTTGGCAAGAATGAATATGTAGTAAAGGACGGCTGTACTGTTACTGATTTCCTTTAAAAAGACGGTTATGTACGAATGCAGCAGCAATGCGCTGGCAAAATTAGTTTCCTGCTTCCATGGAACGGGTAACATTACTGTTGCAAAGGAGAGAGAGTGACGGAAGGAAGAGGCAAGATTGTTGCCAGCAAGGCTGGATAGGGCCTGGCTGTTCGTATGTGTACATTGTGGCGCACATGCTACTAACTACAAGGAGATGAGATTCCAGCGCCACCACTGGAGTAGTCGCATGAGCAGTATTGTAAATCGTCTCGTTCATCTCAAACCTTGAAGAAGATGATTGTAATCTGCTTGCTACTGAGCCGGCTGACTTGCTGGGAAAGCGCGGGGAGTCGAAGAGCGAGAAAAAAAGAAGAAACCGCACGGAAGCTGTGAGTTTGCGATAAGAGCCCGTAGCCTGTGCAGCTCGATCGTCTCGGATAGTAATTGTTGTATATGACCACCACGGCGATTGTGATAACCCCACCTTTGATAGCAAACCCAATTCTTCTTCATAAATACCACCCAAAACGCCATATTGCAATGCATGTTCCCTCTGCTATATGATACATTCTGCCTCTTTCTACTTGCTGCCCCTCACCTAAACTTGGCCGTGCCCGGTACATCCTTGATCTCTTCGAACTTGGTGCCCATCTTGACTACACTGTATCTGATAAGACGCGGGTCTAAACTCATGGTCCTGCGTAGGGCGTGCTGAGCGCGGGCACTGGCATCGAAGCGCATAATGAAGTGGTGGCCATAGTGATGTGTCGATTGCAGCTTCTTGGCCGGCTTGGGGAGCAGAAAAGTGCCCCAGTTGGAGACGCCGCGCACAACGCCTTGCTGATCGAGAACGATTTTTCCGGCGGTTTTAGCAATTCTAAATAAGAGATCGGGTCAGATGAGAGTATATTTCGAGGGACAGGTCCATAGTGTGTGGGGATTTACTCTTTGACTTCGGAGAGGCGGCCAGGCCGTACCTGAGGCGCTTGTCAGCACATGGACACATTGCAGGCAACTCAATGTGAATAATTATGTCGTACCACTCCGATCATTTCATACAGCATGTCTGGCGTCGGATTGCGCGCGGGTCGCGTGTTTTTGTCAGTCTGGATGCCCGCTCTCTCCGTCGCAAAAAGTGTTCGAAAGCGGCCAACCTTTCCGCCAAACCGCGGAAGAGCTCCACTTTTTTTACTAGGCCTTGGCGCGGCCGACCTACTGCTGCTATCTTGCCTATTCCGCCAAAGCTTCCCTCGATATACCTCTGAAGCTCTCGGTTTTTTCTTTCTCTCGCTACATTCACTGAAAAAATGGCCGCCCGTCTCTCCATCGCCCTCGCCGCCTGTCGAATCTCTTCTGTGGCTGCAAAGAGACCCTCGCTAATTGTGTGTCCGAGGTGGCAGCAGGTTGCTCAGAAGCAACGGCTATTCTCGGTATCTGCCGCACGTACGCTACTCCCGCACCGTAATTGAGTCGCAACAAGACGTCTCAAGTCTTTATACTTCAGACTGACGGTTCGTACAGTCAAGGAGAAGAGATATACAGAGGACCACGAGTGGATTGAGCTGTCCGCTGATGGCAAGACATGTACGTCGACTTGCTTCAATCTCCCCGCAATCCCCGCACCCCCAACCCCGACATACATCCTTTCTGCCTTGCCGCAAAAAAGACGTATACAATGGGTCGCGTGCGCTGACGTTTTGCGACACAGGCACTCTGGGTATCTCAGAATACGCAGCCAAAGCCCTCGGCGACGTTGTCTACATTGAGCTTCCACAGGTCGACATGGAAGTGGCCGAGGGCGACGTCATCGGCGCCGTTGAGTCTGTAAAGTCGGCTTCGGACATTCTAACCCCCATCGCTGGTGTTGTTTCTGAAGTCAATGAGGCATTGGAGACTACGCCAGGCAATGTGAACAAGGACCCCGAGGGCGATGCCTGGGTTGCAAAGATCACTGTGTCAGCGGAGCCTAAGGGCAAGACTATGAGCAAGGAAGAGTATGCCGCCTTTACCGAAGAGTAAAATGCCCAAGGAAACATAGGGACAGGCTATATGGTTAGATAATACAGGATACCTGCGCACATTCTTCAACAGGGCGCACCAAATATAACATGAATTTCACACCTTGATCTCCGTTGTGTCATAAGGTCATTAGATAGTCCGCTGACACCAAATAGTTCTGCTGCATTTTTGGACGTCTGCATCACTCATGGCCCTTATCTTTCATCACAATGGTCCCTCGCGCATGCTTACTAGCTGTTTTTTCGAACACCCTTTTGTACCTTTAAGCTCCTACATGATCCAACACCGTCTAGGCTCAGCGTTTCCGTGATGTAAAATAGACATTGACTAGTTATAAAGCAACAATGAGTAAGCGGCCAAGGTCGGTGATTCAGTTACTACATACTCGCACTCGCATGCCGAAAAAGGCAAGACTACGGGACACGAGGACTGCATCAACTTAATCGCGTGACATATAAGGGAAGCCCTTGTGTGGGCCGCAAAGAATGATTTATGGCTCAAGGTCAAGCATAGGGCAGCAGTGCATGGCGATGATACGCCTCAAGCTGCATACGATATGAGGGCTGTCTGACGTCATTTGATTCATTCGTATAACCACAACTACCTCAGCCCACCGACTCCATTGCACCCACCCATAACTGATTTTGACTGCCATTCTATCTAGGGTAATTTGGTAGAACAAACGCTTTCTGAATCTCGATCCCCTAAATAATGGTTAGACCATCATGCTATTCCCTCATAGTGACAATTGTTTATGTCTGAGCTGAGGGTTGGGCATACCGGAAAAATACTTGGATTATGCGGCTGCCAAATAAACCTGCATGTGGTTTCCACTAACCTGTCATTTCAGCTCCTTAGCCCAAACCGGTACATCTTGCATATCTGTTCAAAGCTATCCCTACGACGGCTCCTACCATACGTGCACCCAAAGGTTCCGTGTAAGGCGGCCGTTGTAGGTTTGTAGAAGATGGGAGGCCACACAGGCTGCAATGAATTCCCTCAGCACAATGATAACAAGTTTGCAGCGAATCAATTCAGATGAATAAAAAACACGTGTTCTTTGACATCCTCTCCATCACTAGAGGTCGTCGTCGACTGAAAATAGGATGTTGTAATCCTTAAAAATCGCCGATGATCCTGAAGATCATCATAAAAATAGTATTCTTACGCAACAGTCTAGCTCGAATGTAGTTGGAGGTCTCAACAAGTCTCATGCTTGATTGTTGTACAGTGTTTGTGGCCTGAGTAAGGGATCAAAAAGGTATGAGGTAAGACTTTCGTCAGGCACACCGCACACCATTACAAGAGCATATTCACCCCACTATGTATGTAACGCTATAACTAGGTCCAAATAACTCTAGACATTGTGCATCGATAAAAAAGCTATCTAGCATAAGGAACACAGAATGCCAAGCTCTATCAATCAAGGCTCCCTCCGCGTACGGCAAACAATCCAACAACTTCCTATCCCCGCTCGAAAAGGCTACAATGCGACATTGAACTCAGAATACATCCAGGACATTGTCAATGCAATCGGCACATGGGGCTGCCAACGATTGATCATAGTACACTCCAAAGCCCTGGACGAGAACACCGATGTTATCAAGAAACTGAAAGAGAAACTGGGCTTTTTTGCAGTGGCCTCCAAGTCTGGTGTCGGCGCACACTCCCCATACGATGATGTGCTGGATATAACAAGATTAATATATGAGAACAATGCAGATTGTGTAGTCAGCATCGGAAGCAGCAGTTACTCGGACGCATGCAAGATTGCCCGCTTGATGCACGCCAACCTTGCCACGGATAACCTCAACATAGAAACAATGGAAGCCCTGGTTGATCAAAAAAAGGGGAAAGCAGATGGCCTGAAAGACCCAAGCATCAAACTGATTGTCGTGCCAACCAGTCTTTCGGCCAGTGAATGGAACAACAATTCATCAGCGACAAATCCTCAAACACGCAAGAAACAGCATTTTGCCAGCGACCACGCAGCCCCGGATCTGATCCTTCTCGACCCAGAAGTAGCAGCTACATCGCCTCGGAAACTCTGGCTATCAAGCGGCATCCGCGCTGTAGATCACTGCGTCGAGACCGTACGTTCCGTTCCCATGTCAAGTAGCAAAAACCCCAAGAACAATGCTAATATTACGTCTTCTGTCTAGATGCTCAACAAACAGTGCACAGAGGAGATCTTCTTTCACATGGAAAACGCACTCCGAACGCTCCTGCGCGGCTTGAAATCCTACAAAACAGGTGAGGCAGACGACAAGTACTCTGAGCTTCTCGAAGGTATCGCAAATTGCCAACTTGGGGCTCGAGATGCGATGATGGGCCTGATTCTGTGGGATATCCCAATGGGGCTTTCGCATGCTATTGGGCACCAGTTGGGCAGCATTTGCGGCGTTATACATGGTGTTACGTCGTGTATCATGCTTGCGCCTGTGATAAGGTATACAGCGACCAAGTCGGATAAGCAGGGGGAGATTCAAAAGCGGGTGCTAGAGATTTGGAATGGGGCGTTGTGTGCTGAGGAATCGGATCTTGCGGATGCGGTTAGTGGTTTTGTCAGGTATCTTGAGCTGCCCAGAACGCTGAAGGAGGTTGGTGTTGAGAAGCAAGAGGATATTGATAAGGTGGCTGAAAGTACATTGACGGATGTTTTTGGAGCCATGGAGGGCATGGGCGGAAAGGAAGATGTGCTTGCTATTTTGGATTCTGCAAAAGGCTGAATGACATCGTAGGCCTCGCTTTATCTTAAACTTCTTTTTTATTATCTCTTCAATCTACTCATTCAGCCAAGCACTCTCTTCTCAGCCGGAAAATATAACTCCCTCAGATCCTCCAAGGGCAACTCCTCAAACGCCGCCACGTCATCCACGATTACATTCGCAAGTTCCGCAGGCAACTGCCCCTTCCCCGCCCTCCTCACGGTCCTCCAAATCTCATAGATCCTACTACTCTCCCTAAGAAACTGCTTCGACCGCCGAAACCACCCAACCTCGAACCACTCCGCCTGCGCACCCTCGCAAACAGGGACCTCCCACTTCCTCGTCTCCTCCACATCCATCTGCCCCCAAAGCGGCACCAACACCTGCGCCTTCGCTAACGCCGTTAAAATCGGCCCCGTCGCCTCATCCCACGGTACCACCCTCCTCACCGGCACCACCTTCTCCCCCTTCTCACAACCCTGCTGCTGTTCACCCGGCGGATCCCACATATCCACACAAATCCTCAACAAGGCATCATCGAGAATCCAATACAAACTCTCGCGCTGACTATTCAGAAACCGCTCGAGCCCCACCCCCGGATGCCGCAGCACATGCACGCCCCAGTCCACCAGCAGACATGCCGCCGCGGCCCACGAACTCGATGCAACGAGGCTGGCGAAATGTCGCACTGTGGCTGCGAATTCGCGCGTGCGGTGGAACAGCGTGGTGTAGATGCGAGGGATGCTTGAGAGGCCCTGCAGATCAGCTAGGATGATGGTGTTCATACTAGAGATGTCGCGGGTGAGGGCCAGGGCTGCGGCTGTGGGGGACCATGTTGTGTGTGGTAGGGGCGCGAAGAAGGGTGATGGGGTTGTGAGTTTTTGACTAGTATTACTGCCACTGCTGCTGCTAGTACTGCTGCTTCCGCTGGTGCTGGTGCTGGTGCTTGCTGGGTGGGAGGAGCTAGTACTAGATGAGGATGATGATGATGATGGAGAAGGTTGCTGCAACGGCGTTGGAAGCATGGTGAGACAGGGAACAAGGTACGTAAGGGCCCTTGCGACTGCTTGCGCTGCCTTGTTTTTCCTTAGGGGACAAGGCCAAATGCCGTGGTAAGGGTGCGGTTGTGTGTCCCTGCGAACCAGACCTCGTGGTCGGCGGGTGCCCCGGGAATAGGTAGTGGTATTACGTCATCAAGTGCTGCGGCTAGTGGGTGTTTTTACGTACGGATACGGTGTACGTCTTGAACGCAGGTTTTGGTTTCAATACTATGAGAAAATAACAACAGATTTGATGTATGTATAGCTGGATGTTGATTTTGGCCCCACTCGACACGTGATAGTGTTTGTATACAAGATTAGACGAGATTGATGGACCCTGAACAGGCCTGTTACCCATGTTTTAAGGAGTGGGGCCGTCACTACGATATCAGGACTGTTCTTTTTTCTTTTTCCCTCTCTTTACATGGAAATGACCAAACTCAATGAAGCTAAATTTAGAAGACGTTGTAGCAGACGGAAATCTATATTTGTCAAATATTTACTAACTATCCATTAACGGCGCAAACTTGATGCAACTATTCAGTAAGAAAGAAACTACAAAGGTTGTACCTCTCTATACTTAGATACCAGAGGATATGCACAGTACTCATACCTTTCCCCACCCCCGTCAAGAGAGCAAGAAAAAACCTAATCCAGACGTATTCGACAAGAGCAAGATTGAAGGTGCAATATACCAACCCCCACCTCCCACCCAATTCACTCAACGAAAAACCTCAAACCTCACCTTTTCCTCTTCCTCCCAGCAACCTTGCTCCGTCTCCGCCTCACCCTTTTCTCTGCACACTCATCGCAAATCCACTTCCCCTTCGGCACCGTCTCGGGCGTCAATCCCACACACGTAAAATGGAACCACTCCGTCGCACAGCCCTTGCCGTCGCAAGCAATCATGTCGTTGGTGTCCGGTGTGCCGCAGAAGCAGTATCCAGGCTCTGTTGTTGTAGACTCTGGTGTAGTATGCTCTGGTACAACACACTCTGGTACAGTAGACTCTGCTATCGTTAACTCCGGTATCGTAACCTCTGGCGTCGTAGACTTTGGCGCAGTAGGCTCTGGTGTCGTAGTCTCGGTTGCAGTGCACTCTTGCACCCTCACCCCATCCCTCCTCTTTTCCCACTCCTTCGTCATCTCCTCTACTTCATTCGCTCGATTCAACAGAGCCTCCACCACCACACCCTCTTTCCTTTTCCCTCCCACAGCCAACGCCACCGCATCTTCCCACAGCTGCACCCCATGTACAGCGCAATCGTGATGGCTCACTGTAGCCAAACCCCCTCCCTCCTTCATCCCACCCAAAAAGCCATCCTCCACCGTACCAGAGGAAATCTTAACCTTCTTCGCCGCTGGCGCCGGCACCTCTTCTTCCTCATACCCTCCTCCACACGCCTCGCACACCCAGCCCCCCTCCTCCTCAGGAAACCCAACACAAACCCAGTGAAACCACCTAACTTCGCACTTCGCTTTCCGCGCACACTGCACCATGGGCCCCATGATATACGGCGGGTCCTTGCAAACGCACACGCGTGGCGGCGGCAGTGTTGGCAGCGTCGGTAGAGATGTGAGAGTTTGAGCCAGTCGGCACTCCTGACAAAACCAAGGTTCGTTGCTGAGAAGGTGCTGGTGTGTGAGGCCTACGCAGTGCATGTGGTAGTACCGCACTTTGCATTTTTTGCTGGCGCAGGCGATGAGGGGGTGGAGGTAGGTGGTTTCTTGCGGGGTGCCGCAGTAACATACTGGGGCTGGGGTGTGGGATTTTGTTGCGTAGAGGTATTTTGAGGTTTCTATTGAGGGTGGCATGGGTGTAGCTGGGAGTGTTGATAGTGGTGATGATGATGATGATGATGATGAAAATGAGGTGGACACTTTTTTGATAGTAGTGTATGTGAGTGTTTGGTTTTACAGAGGGTATGGGTTGAAAGACTTTGGGTTGAGGGAGATTTTGAAAAAGGTTTAAGTGGAGGGATACGAGATCAAATGGGCAGCGTGAAAGCGCACGGTTGCGTTTGGTTGGAGGATGACGCAGAGTTTATTGTACTGGGTGACGGTGACGACGAGGTGAATTGACTTGACAATAGCAAGGTTGGCAGGAGAGGAATGAGAGCAAACAGATCGGCACTCCATATTGTTTACATTATAAATTTGATTGCGTTGAGTGAGTCTCGGGTTTCCCGGTAATACAGCAGAATATTGCACCTGGTATTGTACTGGTACATACTGCAATAGAAGTTGTCGCGATCCCATCTACCGCATATTCCTGTGGACAATTATGGTAGTCTTGGCAACGCAGCGCTTCACTCTCCATGGCCGACAACCTGTCTCCTTCCGTGGACCCCTTCCCAATCTTCCCATAGACCTTTCCAGACGTCCCTTTCACTTCTGCCTAGACCGGCAAACATTGCATCCAGAGTCTCTCTGTGCAAGCTCGCCGTGCCCACAACCTCCCAGATGCCAGGCATCAACTTCTCTCTCACATTCTGATCCAGCCTTCCGTTGAGCTGGAAGCGACAGAATGACGCAAGGAGTGGATACAAGAAGTTACTCGCCTTCTCACGAGCTGCTTTGATCGGGTCGTTGAGATCCTTGGATTTGCGAGATTGATGATGTTGGTGTGCTTTTGTGATTGAAGACTGCGGGGGGTTACAAAGTGTAGAGAGCAGCCGTGTGAACTGCGAAGCATTGGCAGCTGTGAGTCGTACAGGCTCTGTGGCTATAGTGGTTCGTAACCATGAAGGTAGTGCGCCGCTTCGACTAGCATTTGGAATGAACAAGCAGAACAAGAGGCCTTGCAAAAGCGGCAAGAAGAGGTGGAAGCGCCCTCCAAGACGGCCCCTGTGTACAAGTAGGATCAGGCGACTTGTGTGGCAAAACCTTGAAAATATTGATGGAGCATATCGAGAGGGCAGTGCAGGGCTGCTTCGCGAAGTCAGCTTGACAAGTACGCCGAAAACGCACTCGATACTGTATTGCGACGCGAGTGAAGGCTTATCATTCAAAATCGTGTCTATGCAGCTGAGGAGGCTGCTGAATGACTCATAGTTGGGGCACTCAGCAAGCAAAGCACAGAGCTTGGGCAACAATGCTAGTTGCTTCTGTTTCAGCTCAGAATTAACTTCAAGCTTGTCGTCCATTGTTGAGGCAAGGTCGTTGAGGATGCGATATGCTGTGGCAGAGTTCGGTGGCCTTTGATCAGCAGTCAACACTGCAATCAGATCCAACTTCTCGTAAATGGCAAGAGGTGCGAGTGCTTCTTTTAGTGTAGCGTACACGGCATTCTGCACAGAAACCGGGCTCCATTGTACAAGCGTGAGCGTCAAACGTAATAGCCATGTCATATCAGGATACAGCTCGAACTTCGTGACCAAGTTGTATACGCGTGCGACATATTCGACGACGTCGGATCGAATCACGACGTCAGGTGCTTGGTATTCATCGAGGTCTACAGCATTCTTGATCCACGTCCGGAGCCAAGTCTGGACACGGTCGAACAATTTGGCTTCTCTCAAGGTAGATATCGATAGATCGTTGAAAGCATCCAGAGAACCCTGTAGCACATCGATGTCTGGACTGCTGAGCAACTTCTTCAGGAGATCGACGTATCGCTCAATATGCAGAAGATTGTTCTGTTTCTGGGCTGATGATGTCGCTCGGAGAATTGAAAGCCTCGCTAATGAGCATTGATCCGTAGCCTTGGTGATGGAAAGCAATCTCCCTGTGAATTCGATGACAAACTCCTTGTTTTTTGGCTGGGTTTGGTTAGGTAGAATCTGCATCAGTGTCTTGTGAACAAGCTCCCTAAGAAGCTGTAGGACGGTTTCCGTTTCCACATCTTGTTGATGCAGTTGCTCCGCGATATCGAAAAGCACGTTGGCTTCGGTTGACACTTGTGCCGATGCATTCGGCACTTGCTGGAGGTGGGCGACAACGCTCAAAAGCTCAACTGGATTGGATTTCCCGGAGGTCAAAAGCTCAGTTATACGGTCCAGTATCGACTTTCTCTGTTCGCGAGCAAGCGCCAGAGGATTGATGTGAAGGATGGCTTCTGCGACTGCAGTGTAGATGCCACCATCAGCATCTTGTCTAAGAACTTGCAAAAGTGCTGCAGAATAAGTACTTTGAATTAACGCGCTCCCACTCTCGGCGATAGACTCAGAAAGTGACCTGCAAATGAGATCGCTGGAAACCTTTCCTAGCTGAGGAAGTCTGGACAAGATTCTGTATATCGCATCGCGGCAAGCATTTACCTCAAGAGGCTCGAGTAGGTTGACGAAGTAGGTACAGAAAACTTCCACCATGCGTTTGTCGTCTTCATCTCCCAACTGCATAGGAGAGAGATTCTCCAGGATCTTCTGCATCCCATTACGGATTGCGTCTTCAGAACCAGGCACTGTTTGAAGACGATTGCATGCGTTGAAGCAGAAGAGCATAGCAGCCGCTCGTGAGGACGAGTCCGTGTTTCGGCCTTTGTCTCTGCGTCCAGAGGAGATGTCCTTGGTAGCCTGCTCAAGTAGCGGATATAAGAGCTCCTGCTGTGCCGGGAAAGAAGCGTGCATATTAATTGGCCAGAGATCATCTAGCAATTGGCACAATGTGAACCAAGAAAGGTGGAGCTGTGTGTGGGAGCTGTAGGTACCATCTTGTACCCAAGTAACATAAGTGAGAAACAACGCCTGAAGGTCAGACTTCAGTGCCTTGACGATGTTATCTGATCGAATGGATTGAAGGAAGGCGGGGATGAGGACAGCGCTGCTTGCCGCGTTCTTGTAAGCTGCAAGCTTCTTGACCTTGACATCTTCTTTGGACGCTGCTTCTATCGCCTCGTTCAGTTTCGCCAACCGCACTTCATGCTCTTGAATAAGAGTCATGATTTGGCCCTGGGTGAGAGACTGTTCAAAAACACCTGCCAAGGCAATGTAGAGGGCGCGATCTTGCCAAATGATATCTTGTCGATCTTTGAGAGCCTTGCGTTTCCCATGCCTGTAACTCTTGATCAACTGATCATCCCATCGGCGAATGAAGCCTAGCAAGTTGCGGTTTCGTACAAAGGCTGACATGAGAGGGATGATAACCTTCTCTAGCATTGCTCTTCTCGTCAATTGTGTGTTTTTGGTGATTTCCGGCTGGATCTCAGTCTTCTGGGCCTGCCTCTCATCGATAAACCCTTGACCACTCAACTCCACTGCAGATATCTGCTCGAAAATGAACTCGACAAGCTCAGTGTGGTCTTCTTGTGTTCGTTTGCTGCCGGATTTCGATCCTATGACGAAGACCGAGGTGTCAAGCTCGATCAAAGATGCAATCAGCGACCAGTGCACCTCCTTCTCTTGACCTTCTGGGTATTTGACTCCGCAATGGTACCAAAAGATGGTTTTGACAAGGTCTGGACCCAGAGTAACTTCATGGACTTGCAGCACACACAAAGCAGCACTGAGAGCAGCGACAGCGGTTTGGCGTGTAATGAACTCCGGAGGAGTCGTTAGTGAACATCCCGCGCACTCGGCAAGTGTAGAAAAGACAGCTTGCAGCCAGGGTTTCTCCATTGCCCTGCTTTTCGGTGTTCGAGACGGGGATACGCGGATGGCCAAATCTAACAAGTGGGGGACTGCATCGAACAGGGATGCAAGTCTTGTTGGCAGAACATCGCCGCCATCCTCGATCTGCGCAGCTTGGAGGAGCTTCGCACGCAGAGGTTCCAAGTTGCTGGCCAACACTTGGGCGTCCCGCGGCTTTGGGGCTTCGCCCGAGGAAGGACCACTGCTGGTCTCGCCAAAGAAAACCGCTCTTGAAGGTGCAAATAAATGTCTAATTAATGACTTGTCCAATGCTGCAATCGCGCAACTGACGGCATAAGAAGGAGCATTTGAGACACCTCCGTCGCGTAAATCCTGTAGGTATACAAGAAAATCCAACGTAGGAATAAGGCACTCTGTACTGAATTCTTCAGCAGAAGCACCAGTCTCGTCTTTTGCATCCACTGTCCGTAGATTCCAGATTCCGTAGGGCAGGGAGAGGTCGACGAATTCAGCCCAGCGGTGGTCCAGATGTGTGTTTTTCGAAGGAGTACTTAGAATTTGGTAAACGCTCGTGAGCCAGAACCTCAGAATCCGTGAAGCTTGCGCACTATCGGTCCTCAAGACCATCTTCATAAGCTCCGCTTGGGTAGTATCGTCTCCCTTGTTTCCTGCGGCCAAAGCGGTTATTGAGGCTACGACAGATCGAATTACGCGAAAAAGATGACCGAGTTTTGCTGGATCGAGAGTTGCCATTCTCAAGGGTGGGCTTTGCACAGTTCCGCGCTTTCGTTTCTTCGATGGCTTGCTGTCTTCTCGGATGGTCGCGCTCGACTCGGAATCGTCATTCATGTGAACATCCTCGGATGCGCCTGCAGGCTGCACAGTGGGGTCCTTGTTGAAGTTCTCAACAAGCGCTCGTTCGAGAATGCTCGGGAAACTGGCGTCGCGTAGATGAGGTGCGCTTCTCGAAACAGGGAGAATTTGAATCATCCATTCAAGAAGCTGCCAACCGTTCGAGTTTCCCCGCGCTGTGCGCCCTACTTCCAAATCATCCTTTAGTTTGTCAAGTATCCAGCGCAGAACCCATTCTGCTCTTGCTCGCACAAGTCGCTGTATTATTCTAGCCTTTATATCCTCCTCTGTTACAGTAGCCCAGTCGTCGGGAAGGCCTATTATATGCGCAACTTGGGAAATTTGTTCGTCTAGGTCAGAAAAGTCCTGATTGATGGCTTGCAGCCGCGGGCGGGTCGACGCAGGATCGTTCTTCGAGGCCTATTCGCATGTCAGCTACCTTCTTGACAGAATATGCGCCTCTTACTCACTGGCTGAATTGGCGCCATCTCGTCACCTCATTCCTCGTTTGCAGTTGCAAAAGCTAAAGGAAGTATAGTGGTCGAGCAAAGCAGCGGTAGTAAGGTCGAAAAAAGTTGGGCACAGACCAGACGTACCCTTGTCGTTCCTGCCAAGGGCCGGCGACGTCAAAGTTCGGCATTCCCAGCTGTCGTGCGAAGATCATCAACACCACGTCGAGCCGCTCCCATTCACCTCTCAGCACACCGAGTGCGCCGTTGCATCCATCAATTGCACTCGATATATCCGCTGCCATGGCCGAAAACAACCCCCAGCCCGTTGCGTCCATCTCGCGTACCACTCGTCCCATGAGCGAGGCTCTGCTCAACGAAAAGGTAGAATAGCCACTCCCGACACAATCCCGTGATGAAGGCATTGGCAATCTCTGGATTCGAATTGGGGCGTCTGTGTGCTTGGAGAAAATGTCCTCGCATGCAATGGTGGGGCACAATGCTCTCACGCGACTCGGATGACTGCCCCATGCCAACACCACCAACCCACACCGATAAGCAGCACAAGATTGGGTTCGAACAAGGCTACTAACACATGTCCACAGTGGGATCGCTGCCTCTCCTCAATGCTCATCCGCTCGGGTCTCGGAGTCTCCTTCGGCGTCATCTTCTCGGTCCTCCTCTTCAAGCGACGCGCATGGCCCGCCTTTGTTGGTCTCGGTTTTGGTGCTGGAAGGGCATGGGAAGAGTGCGACAACGTCAGTTTCCCTCGACGCACCAACTTCTATCAAGCACGTAGCGTCCTAACCGTGCCAAACAGTCATTCAAGCGAGCAGCAGCACCCTCGAAAGACGGCCTCCGCGTTATCCGGCCATAAACGACTCTTGACGTGCGAGTGGGGGACATTGATCGATACCATTCGGTGTGGGTTTGGAGCTCTGCATAACAAGTATGCAGTGTACAGTAGGACATGGTATAGACCATCTGGGCAATTTAAAGCTGTTCTTCTTGACCTTACCCGTTCTATCTATGTCCGCTATTCCCTTTTACCATTTGCAAACCCGAAAAGAACATCCCCCTCACATCCTCCTCCCACAAACCTTTCATTGACGGTGGTCCTCAAATGTATACCCCTCGACCCCCTCAAGCACAGTAAACCAATGCGTAGTAAATGTAATATGCTCATACAGCTCCCTCCCCGCCGCCCGCGCCTTCTTATGCCACGGTCCCAATCCACCCCGATACGCATCTTCCCTGCTATGCCAGAAACCTGTTCACAACCGTCAGCTCAATCATCTCCAGCAAATCACGTGGTTAATTCCACCGAAAAAGAAAGAACATAGGAATGAACATACAAGTCGCCAAATTCCTCCTCTCCAAATCACTCTTCCCAAACCAATACTTCAGCAATCCCCCCGACGCACACGCCTCCGCATGACTCTCCTCATCCAACTTGTACAAATAATCATTGTCAATGTTGTCTTTGAGTTTGCTCCTGAAGACAACGACGTAGAACCGTGTTTCGGGCCACTTTAAACCCTCCCTTTTAACAAGTGCGCATAGAACGTCGAGTACGACGTCGAGGTTTAGCGCGGAGGTGTAGTGGGCTGTGGCGTAGGTGGGGAGAGTGGGCTGAAGGGATGTTAGGGCTACGGCGAGGAGGAGGGAGGGAAGGGGGAGAGGAGGGGTGGAGAGGGAGAGATAGTGGCCTGGTTTGTTGTAGGGGGATGTTATGAGGGAGTCCGAGGGGGTTGAGTTGGGTGGTGTTGTTGGTGTAGGAGCTTGGGTTGGAAATTTTGGGACGGCGGCGCTGATGAGCTGAGTGTAGGCTGCGGCTTGGAAGCGGTGGGCGTCGAATTCGGTGGTTATGAGAGCTGGATCCCGAAGAGTGATGCTGCGGAGTGGGATGGATTTGTTGGGTGAAGGCGGTGTAGGAGGGAGTTCTGTTATTTTGACATTCGGTTCCTTGAGGTTCGGTGCTTGGGCTGGAAGAGCGATTGTGTATCCTGGACTCCCCATGGTTTTATTTGAATATTTTTTCTAAAGTTGAGCTGTCAGACCTCTCTTCTTTCCCTTGTACAGCTGGTGCCAGGATGCTGCCTTGAGCATCCAACAACACTTACCTTTATCGTTTCTTTACTTTCCAGTCGTTTGATACGTAGGTTTTGCAATTCTTTCTTAATATTTATATTCGGTTTCAAGCCCCGGAAATTGTAGTGTGTTGTTCCTTGTCACTCAAGTGTTGATTGATGATGGTACGCGGTTCGGTCATATTCCGCTCCAAGCACGTTTAATCACGCAATTTTGGTAAACGCCATTTTAGCCTCCTTTGTGACTTGGGCCCACACATAATACGGATGGCTCTAAGTCGGTATACCTTGAGTGAAAGGACATTGGTCAGTCGTAATAGGGAGAGTTTTGTACAACTTCGTTTCTTGAGCCGGTTGAGTTACTCGATCCGAGCTGGTACGTGTCCCTCTTTACCAAGTAAAGTCGTGCGGTGAGGGGACCCTGCAGCAACTAAAACACACAGGATACTTACCCTAGTTGAAGGAAAGTCGGTGGCTACTGAGCACGTCACAGCACTTAGACGCCGTGACGCAGAAAACTCTCAAGGGATGCGTTGCAAGGGTCTTGTCTAAAGTTAGTTTCATCCAATTAAATAATGATGCGGATGTGTCGATCTCGCCCAATAATCAATCAGCCCAACGCGAATACATACATCAATCCATGATTGTCGTCAGTGCCAGGTTATGCATGCGCTGATAACCAAACGGGTGGTCCTCCGTGACGGGTACCTGGCAGCCATACTCTTCTATGCATGTGTCAAAAGGCTTATTCTGCAAACGGTTATCACCAGGAGGTAATGGGAGATCGGAGCCTTTAGCTCTCAGTTCTGTCTTCAGCTCCATTAAGTTTCCCCAGAGAAGGAACAGTTTATGCTCAAGCTGCATGAGCACCTTGGGGTTATTCTTGAGGCTGTGATGATGTCAATCAGCATGAACTAGCAACGATCTAAAGCTCTCTTACTCTTGCGCATTCAGTTTCAACAGGTACTGTGCTGAGGTATCATTCACAACAACACGCAGCTTCTCAGACACACCGTCCCGAGGTACTTCCGCATCTTCCAGCAGGAGCACAAATCCCCACTCCCATCGTTCTTTCGGGCATGTACTGTCAGCACGCTGCTTTTCAGACCGCTTAGCCCAGTTCGGATCGTTTAGAGAGTGAGCAAAGAGTTCGAGTTTAGGAGGGAATACATCAACTACGCGCACACGAGATCGGTACCGGCAATTGACAAAAGGAAGTTCATAATCATTACACTTTTCAAGTGTGCGCACACGAAGATGAGGGTTGTGTATGATTTCGGAGATTGTGGAAGACTTCATGTCCACGTGAGCACATCGGACTGCGTCTGGGTCAGTATGGATCAATAAGAGATGGCGTAAGTCTTACTATTATTGTTCACGCCACTACGTTCGACTTCCCATTCACGGGCCTTCTTCTCAATTTCTTGCTGCTCAGCTTCTTTCTCAGCCCGCAATCGTTCTTTTTTGGCCGACTTCTTGCTGTGTGATGTTTTGGCAGAAGGTTTTTTAGCTTCACTCTGTATTTTTTCGAAAGCCGTTACACCGCCACGCTTGTTCTCGTATTCTTTCCGTCGGCTGTCGATTTCCGCAATTTCCGATGCGCTATTCAAAGGACGTATGTCGACCTGTGATTTGTTGACTTTGTCTTGATGCACTGCGCCCTCAAGTTTGCCGCGGGCAGACAATTTGACTCTCATGTTTCGTATGAAAACATAGTCACCAATCGCCAAATGTTCTCTTGCCCAGTTCGCGTTTTCTTCGTACAAGGTAACGCTGAGAGTCAGGTATCCGTATGGACCTTTCCAGTGTTTATCTACAATATGATAGCTATCTTCTTTTTCAGGGTCGGCGTAATAAAACATGCTATCGTTTGGAGTGTAGTCGGTAACTTTCAAGTCGACTTGACCCTGATAGTGGTAGATGTTGACAACCTGTGCTCGGATGTTCGCGAAAGTGTTGAATTGCAAGTCTTTAATCAAACAGTCCTTTTTCCCTGTTTGGGTCTTGAACGCAGCCGTCGTTGCATGCTGTCGTATTGGCTGGCTTAAACCAGAAGAGGCGTGCTTCAGGTGTATGACAGCCATTTGCTCTGGGATTGTGGGTTGCGAAGCCCCCCAAGACGAATCGCAGGGGAGCTTTTGACTGCCGGCTTGGTAGGCATGGCTGAGCTCCGGGACAGGAATCATGCTGCTAGGGAATACGGTCATATGAGTGAACTGTCTGTCGCCAATGCATTCCATACGCCCAATCCATTGCTTAAGCTTGGCATTACGAAGAATTACGACATCTCCAAGACCAGAGATCTTAGGGAACCTATTTGGTGGTTTGAATATGCGACCATTAATGGAGGAGTAGATACTGGCAGAGGCGTCCGCAAAGTCGTCTTGGATGGTGAAGGAAAGAACATGGTCGAGTCCTTTAGATGATTTTGGCCCATCGTAAGCGACGAGAATGCCTATCAGATTGACGCTTTGACCTGCTGATGTTGCGTCCTTGATGGCAGTGAAGCCGTTGGGCAACTGCATGGTAGCTGGGAGTGGTGCCAAAAGCGGTTTAGCGTGCTATTAGGCCGTCAAAGAACAGGCACATGTCAATACATATGCAATTACACAAAAGGCGGACGGTCTTGCAAAAGTAGTGATGAGTCGTGTGTATCGCATTGGCTTGTGCTGCAGATACCGCCAGGCCACTGGAGGGCTGGGTGAGTATACAGCCGTGATTCGGGATGAGGAGACGCGTCGTGGTGCTGATGGTGGTTGCTTGGGCGTAAGGCTCGAGCCAAGGCTAGGTGCTAGCGCCATGACCGCTTTGCCGCTTCCGCTTTCAAAATCACCCCTCTAGTTAGAAAGTTTACTCCCTTTCACAAACAAACCCGACCCACCGCAAACTTGTCCGACTCAACACTCTGTCTGTCAAATCGAGTCGTTGCAGAAAATGGCCGACAAATACATCCCCGAGCACCGCCGCACGACGTTCAAGGCCAAGAGCGCGTTCAAGCCGGACGAACTCCGTCGCCGCCGTGAAGAGCAACAGGTCGAGATCCGTCGAGCAAAGCGTGAAGAGAACCTTGCCAAGCGCCGTGGTATTTCTGGACGAGACCAGCCCGGTGCTTCACTGGGCGCTGCCCCCGACAGCGACGATGAGGGCGGCAACATCGAGAGCCAGGTCCGTATACCACCCCCACCATGCCGTGCCTTGCCCTCTCGCCCTTGTGGCGGGCTTTGTCAAAGAGGCTCGAGGCTGACACAATGCGATAGCTGAATGAAGAGCTCCCCCAGATGGTAAAGGGCGTCTTCTCGGAACAGATCGATGAGCAGATCCAGGCCACAACCAAGTTCCGTAAGCTCTTGTCCAAGGAGCGCAACCCGCCCATTGAGCGCGTTATCGAGACGGGCGTAGTGAGTCGCTTTGTCGAGTTCCTCCGCTCACCGCACACACTGGTACAATTCGAAGCTGCTTGGGCCCTTACCAATATCGCCTCTGGCTCGGCACAGCAGACACAGGTCGTCATCGAGGCGGGCGCAGTGCCCATCTTTGTTGAGCTGCTCAGCAGCCACGAGCCAGATGTGCGCGAGCAGGCTGTCTGGGCCCTAGGTAACATTGCTGGAGACAGCCCCGCATGCCGCGACTTTGTGCTGCAGGCGGGTGCTCTCCGCCCGCTGCTTGCTCTGCTAGGTGACAGCCGCAAGCTGAGCATGCTGCGCAATGCTACATGGACCCTCAGCAACTTCTGCCGTGGCAAGACCCCTCAGCCCGATTGGCAAACTGTGAGTCGAATCTCGCTGCCCCGCATACCTGCATCCCCCTAACGATCCTGCAGATCCAGCCCGCCCTTCCCGTGCTTGCTAAGCTTGTCTACTCGCTTGACGACGAGGTCCTCATCGACGCCTGCTGGGCCATCTCATATCTGTCCGATGGCTCCAACGACAAGATCCAGGCCGTCATCGAGGCTGGCATCCCCCGCCGTCTTGTTGAGCTGCTGATGCACGCCTCCACGTCCGTTCAGACACCCGCCCTGCGCTCGGTCGGCAACATTGTCACTGGCGATGACGTCCAGACCCAAGTCATCATCAACTGCGGCGCGCTCCCAGCCCTATTGTCGCTCCTAAGCTCTACCAAGGACGGTATCCGCAAGGAGGCTTGCTGGACCATCTCCAACATCACCGCAGGCAACTCTACCCAGATTCAGGCTGTCATTGACGCCAACATTATTCCTCCCTTGATCCACCTCCTCCAGAATGGCGACTTCAAGACACGAAAGGAGGCATGCTGGGCCATTTCCAACGCCACAAGCGGTGGTCTGCAGAAGCCTGCTCAGATCCGTTACCTTGTCCAGAGCGGCTGCATCAAGCCCCTCTGTGACTTGCTTGCATGCCCCGACAACAAGATTATCCAAGTCGCCCTCGACGGTCTAGAGAATATTCTCAAGGTTGGAGAGATGGACAAGGAGGCCAGCGAGGGTGGTGCTGGTGGCGAGCCCATCAACCGCTACGCTCTCTTCATCGAGGAGGTTGGTGGCATGGAGAAGATCCATGAGTGCCAGAACAACGCCAACGAGGAGATTTACATGAAGGCGTACAACATCATCGAAAAGTACTTTTCCGACGACGAGGGTGAGGCGGAGAACATGGCTGAGGGCGGACCCCAGGTCAACCAGGAGGGTCACTTTGGCTTTGGAGCTGGTGGCCAGCAGCAACAACAAAACTTCAACTTTGCCAACGGAGGCGACTCAATGGACATGTAAGCGAATGATTTGTTCGCGATGAGTGCCAATGAGTTGAGAGGGGGCATGGTCAGCCATGCAGCGCTCCCTCAATGACCCTAGTCAGCTACGAGAGGGCGACTAGAGGAGTTTGCCAGTGCCCTGCAAGGGTTTTGAGATCATACACGATATGATACGTGACCCGGGGAAGAGGCATGATTGCGGGG